TCCTTGCTAGCCTATGGCCTGCAAAAGGACTCCTGTGTCACTCACAGCAGAGATGGCACTGGGGCTCCTCTTGTCAATTGCAGGACTTTTCCGGGAGATGCACCTCTCCTTTCTGAGATGTTTTATTCATCAACCAAGTATCCTTGACAATGACCGTGCTGCATGTAGCAAGCAGCCAGGGGTATTTAGCTGCACAAAACGGTCTGCCTGGGCTCACTCTGCAAGCTGCGGGTGAAGCTAGAATTAGAGGTACCCAGGTTTACAGCCTCCGTGGGTGGTGGCTGAGTATGCGATCAGCATGTCCTCACGCTGGTTAGTTCCTTCCAGCGAACGCCACGTGTTCAGGCACCCGGCCAGTGTTCCCCTAAACTGCCTTCCATATGTTTGCAGTCTCCAACCACAGACTCTTCCCAACTGATGCCTCTGCCCTTCTGACGCTCCCACATTCTCCCGGCCCAACACGGCCCATCTCTACTATGGGATATCTTTTGTATCATCGAGTTGTTCAGGTTTCTTCCTCCTCTGCCTGTTGCTGCCAAGCCCCATACCCCCCACCAAGTCTTCTGTAACTTTGTATAGCTACAGCTATACAGCTATCCATCTATAGCACACAGTAGGTGCTCAGTGAGCCAGCAGTTAATCATGCCCCTCTGAGACCAGCGACTGTGGCCAGCAGCGGACACAGGCATCCAGGAGAGATTTTTCTGAAATCGCCACCTAGCTGGTGTTGGCAGAGAGCCTCTTGCTCGAGGGGGCACACTGCTCTGGGGAGCGTGAGGACGACAATCCAGAAACATCTCCCCTCAACCCCCGAGACCCCTCCGGCTAATTGGGAAGCACCCAGGCCCATCACACCCAAGGCTTCAGCAAGGTGGCGCCTGCCACTTTGGCAGAAAGATGAGGGGTTTCTACTCTGGGGGATTATGGGGGCCTTTATCAAGGAGGTTCCAGGAAGGCAGCCATAGGTGGAGTCACCCAGCCTGGCTGAGGCAAGGACTCTCCACAAAGGGCAGATGAAGGTAAGAGGTGGCCCTGAAGGGTGGGCAAGGAGGTGTGGCATGGGCTTGTCCATGCAGGAGCCAGGAAGGTCTAGAGGAAGGCCAGGGCTTTGGTGCAGAAGAGGCTTTGAGAATGTAGGTGATAGGATCCCCACAGGTGGCTCAGCAGTGGGGTGCAGACCAGGCCGCAGCACACACGTCATCCTCTACAGTGGTACAGATAAGGTAACTCAGGCCAGGCCTGGGGCCCCAGGACCAGCTCCGAAACAAGCCCTCTGGCCCGCTGCGCCCTGCAGGACCTCTGCCTCCTTCACTGCCTTTCTGCAGTATGAGACCTGTGTCCCATAAGGGAATTTCATGAAGAAATTCAGTATTGTCCGAGACAAGAGCCGGGACAGTGGCTCTCACTTTTTGCACACCTGGAAACTGGGACCAGGCAAGGTGAAGAGATTGGGTTATCGCGGGCTTGAGGCTAAGAATAGAGTTCTCTTCCCCTTCCACCATCTCCAGAGACTCTCCAGTGGGAATCATGGTACGAAAGCTCACGCTCCGGTCTCTTCCACCAGGCCAGCCCCTGCTAACTCTGAGTGTACAGTGTAGATCAGGAGAATCCACACTACCCCTGAAGAACCGTTAAGCAACTGCACATCACTGAGTGTGTGGTGTGTGTGTGTGTGTGTGTGTGTCTGTGTCTGTGTGTTTTTAACCAATGCTACATTGAATTTATGGAGAAGCCAACCAAGCAACCTAGGGGAGAAGGCCAGGGAAGCTTCGACCCAGGCAGACTCTCTGTGACTATCTGCTAGGGCTGATAGCAGAATGGGGGCTGTCTGTCCCCTTTGCTGCCAGCAAATGGAAAACAGTCTCAACTACACATTCAGCAGTGACCATGAGTGATCTTATTTCATGGAAGTACATACCTGCTTTGAATTACTTGAGAACTTAAAAAATAATAACTACAGAAGACTCTATACCCTGATTCAGATACAGGACGCCTCTTCTCAGGGTCCTTAGACATACTTCACACGAACACATGGGACATCCTCTTCCACTTTAAGGATCTGGTGGATCAAATAAATCCCACGTCCAGAAACCTGAACTGGTCTATTGTGCTCAGCTGCCCGACAGGGAAGCAGAGTTGTACCCACAAGAGCAGGTCCAGAGATTCCCACGTAACAAAGGCTGCCGTCTGGCCTGGCCCAGTGTAACCAGAGCCCTGATTCCCACCCAGCTTAGGATGAGGACAAGGCAGTGGGAGGTCAGCCAGGCTAGGAGAGCCTCCTTACCGCGCCCCCCCCCCCCCCCCCCCCCCGCCCTCAGCCAGACACAATGGGGTTCCCAGGAGGACTCTGTAACCTTAGGCTCTGCATATACAATTGAGGGAGGACATCCACATATCTGCCGTAGCAGGAAAAGCAGAAGATGCTTGCTATCTGGCTGACCCAGCCTTCACAATGCAAAGTTCCCCACACTGCGCTGGCCTTGTTATCTGTCCCTTTGCCAGCAGTGGTTCAAGGCCACCTGAGATAGTCTCGGCCCTCCCCCACTCTTTCAGTGCCTGGAGCAAAACACAGTCTGCTTCCAAAACTACTTGTGGCTCTTTAAAATTATCGCCATAAAATTATGCAATTCCCTGATCACTTTAATACCAAAGCAATCATTTTTGTTGAATCCAAATTAGTAGATGAAAGCATCAACTATTCCCTGCAGGAAACCATCAAAATCAGGGACACCCCCTCCACCCCTCCCCGTCCTGAGTTGTCTATTTCGGGCTCGCTTGCTTTTATTTTAATAGGAAATATGTGTCCTAGGGCTATGTCTTCTTCTTTCCTGGACTCCAGTAACACTTCACATGACACAATCTTTAGTTTCTCTGTAACTTATACCCATACTCGTGCAATCCAACTGAAGGCATTTGAATACTACTCTCACTCCTAAGAGTAAAACCAGATTCCTTGGTTGCCTGGTTTAAAGGTACAAATGCCTTCTGGCCGCAAATTCCATTCATATTCTACGAAATCACTGAGAAAAATCCAAAGGTCTGGAATCTTTGAGGTCTTTTTCTTTCCCCTCAGTTGCTCTTAAGGTTTATGAAGTGACTGCCCTTCAGCCTCAGGTTTGAGTAACTTCCACCAATTTCCCTCATGTCGCCTTGAAAACAGGAGCTCTCTCCCTAAAATGATCGCACAAAAAGCCACTGTTCCTGACTGATTAAGTAGGGTTTTTTGTTTGGGGTTTTTTTTTTTTTTTTTCATTCAGAAAGCCTATCCTTGGCCTGTTCTGGGCCTGATTAGAAATCATAATACCTTCTCAACCCCTCAACAACTTGCTGTTCATACCGGGGAAACACACCCCCAGAGTCCAGCCTCTGTGTGGCACAAGCATGCTGCCTTAGCAACACTTTAGTGAACTTTTTTAAAACTACAACCGTAGCATATGCCCTCTAAAAGAAAAAAAAGCTGATGGGCAGCAGCAAACTACAGCCATTTCTCCATTTTCTTTTGCTTTTCCACCCCCATCCTGGGCAGCTCTCCCCCTCCCCCTAATCTCCTGGAGGTTGTGGCATTAAGCTCTCCAGTTGTGTGCACATTCAAGTGTTTATGGCAGAGACTGGGGAAAAAAGAGCAAATTGTTTTCAAGCTGGAGCTCCCATGTGCAACTTTGCTTCAGAAAAAGGCTTTCCATCTGGGGAAAGCTCATACTCTGATGAAAGAAAGACGAGCAGTTTATCCATTTAAAATCTATGGAAACTTAAAGCCCAGAAATCAGCAGCCTCCACTTTCTGTGCTAGGCATGCCTCTCTGATGTCCACAATTTTCCTGGAATAACTAAAGTGACACAAAGGCAGCATCTGCCTTTAAAAAGAAAAAGGAAAAGTTTCCACGTTGAGACTTTGCAGACCGAAGTTTCAGGGGATGTCACTGCACCAGAGACCTTCAAAGGGCTGTAAACCATTTAGGAGGCTCTCTCCCACTTTTGAAAATGAAGTAATCCTGTTGCGAGCAAAAGGAAAGAAAGAAAGAAAAAAGAAGAAAAGAAAGAAAGAAAGAAAGAAAGAAAGAAAGAAAGAAAGAAAGAAAGAAAGAAAAAAAGAGGAAGAGAGAAAGAGAGACAGCCAGTCTGACTTTTACAACTTCTCATTCTCTCTGGAAGTTACAAGTCCTGGCTAAGCATCCAGCCCTGACCTCACTCCAAAGGTCTAACTCCCAGTCACTCCTTCAATCTTTGCACATGCCAACAAAATTGAACAAAATCCCCATTTTACCTGAAGACTATATTTAAATTGCAAAATAGTCGACTTGGGTGTGTGCTTTTCTTTCCCCCAATTGAAGTTGGACTTAACACCTTCTAAGAGAATACTCAAGTTAGATTACCAAGCACTACGAGAACAGACGAGAGACCGGGCTATATTTAACATTCATGTTTGTAGCTTCCGGACTTACAGGCTCTGGTAAATCCCCCAAAGTACTGAATTCAAGTGTATCTTGGACTCACAATGGTTCTCAGCAGTTTTCGCTTCATTTAAGGATGCCTATCAAGGAAGTGTTCATCGTTCTGGAAGTACGTATTTACTGCCAAATTCATCTGTTTCCAAACTAATACACCAGAAGCAAAACAGGTAAACTGTGGTGCCAAGCGGATCCCCGTGCCAAACTGGGGAGGCAGAATGGATACTCCGTGTTCTCGCGAAGTTCCCCTGCTTACTGGAGCTTAAGTAGCCACACAGCAAATAAACACCAGATTCCCGACACACACGGAAATTTCCTTCTGCGAGTGACTTACGAACACTGCCCTTTGCTTTCTGAAGCGAAAGGTGAAGCCCTCCCAATTAACGGAAGCACTTTGCAATGGAGCTACGTGAGCCTGGGTTTTCTGAAACCAGACCCACAGACTCAAAAGCACCCATCTAAGCGATTTTAAAGAAGTCCTTTGAAAAAGGCCACTTTGTAAAAGAAGCCATGCCTTCTTCCCAAGGCTGCTGCCGGAGCACCGCTTCCTTACCTCGGGGCTGGCTGGGCTGGCTGGGCTCGCTTGCCTTCCTGCCTGCGCTGTGCTCTGTGCGCTGGCTCCCTCAGCGCTGAGCAGTTTGCAACTGTGAGTTCTGCCGGCTGCAGACTTGCGTTATATACGCGGCAGGAAGGCGCCTCTGGCCTCTAGATGGCAGCTTTGTAACCCACATCTCTGCCGTGCCACCCCCATCCCACAGGCAGGCGTGCGCGCGCGCACACACACACACACACACCCCTCTTGTAAACCTCACTAGTCTGTTGTTTCCTGCACAAGCGCACTCTTGGGAAACCCCAGCCTTCCTTGATTTGCAAAAATCTGATGAAGCCACAAAGTCCAAACCCCATGGGGGAAAACGCCGAATAATCCCATTAACACCAGGAATTCCTCTAAATGCCTCTTCGTTCTAGGGAGGACTTTGTTCCCAAGACAAACTACTCTGAACTTCTGAACTTCGGTGTTGATTTACTAAGCCTGGGATTTCTGTGTTAATTCCTCCAAAACAGAAGTTACAGTTGTGGTATGACCAACGAATCTATCACACCGTATAACCCCGAAGTGGGGGAAAGAGTCTTTATAATAGATTATACTTGAATACTTTTATTTGTAAAGGACTTTAGATACAAAATCCTTGAGACTCTAATCAAGATAGTATTTTACAGTGTCTGCCCAGTGCCAGACACACATTAGGAAGAGAATAAATGCCTTTCGCTGAAGTCCTTGTCTGAGATGAGTCTGGCAAACACTTCACTACAATTGTTGGAATCTACAATCTTATTTGGAAGTGTATTGCTAAAGTTCCCTCCATGGGGGAATTCAACCTAAAAATGTGATCCAGGTGATACTCATCTCTAATGCGCCATTTACGAAAATCACCCATAAGGTAGGGACCCAAAGGCCACCGGCCAACCCGTCCTCACATGCAATGCTCTGGCTTCTGTGTTGCTTTCTGATCTCCTGGGGTTCCTTAGGAGCGGCTCATGTGAATGCGCCAGCTGTATTCACGCTTTCTCCAGAGCTAAAACTTTTGGAGATTCTTTTTATACTTCTACTAAAAGTAACAGCAGCCGCTGGGTCCCAAGGCTGAATCTGGGGGACTGGGAGGTCAAAGCCTGACGTGGCTAAAAAGTCTTTGTAGAGAAAGCCCTTTACAAAAGAAATATTTTGTTTAGATAAAAGCTGCACATTCTTCTCCTGAACTGCTGCCCGGCGGGAGGCAAAGCGCACACCTGCTCTCGCGGGGCCTCCGGAGGGGTAGCCCTGGGCCCGGCCTTTCCCAGCCCCAGCGCAGCGTCCCGCCACCGCCTCTGCAGGGCGGCGCAATCACTCTTCGTGTCACCTCAGCCCCAAGCACATCTCCACGCTCCCCAGAGATGCTGGAAAGGAAAACTGCGAGCGGCTGCGTCTACCCACACCCAAGACCTAGGCGAGACCTCGACCCTCCGCAGCATACTGTCTTGGCTTTTTTTGACCTGTTTCCTTCGTGTGGGGGACCCTGTGTCTGAGCCTGCTGGAAATCTACGGGGATTGCCCTGAGCTCTGCAGCTCGGTTTCCGCTCTCTGCGGCTGCGGCTGGGACCCGGGGCCTGTTCTCCAGGTAACGCGCTCCGCTTGCGCGCACGCTGGAAACACAGAGTGGGTGCGAATCCGTGCTGAGCTAAGCGTCCGCTCGCTGGAAGAAAGAAAGGCCACGTGAACGGGGACCTCGGACAGGATGCAGTTGCCAACGTGAACGCAACGCAGTGTTTTTGTTTTTGTTTTTTTTTTGAAGTAGAATCCACTTCTTGCATCCGGGACCAGCCCTCGCGCAGGGGCTAGAATCCACTAGGCCGCCTTGCAGCAGCCTGCGCCGCCCCGCGCCCACCCACGGCCCCGCACCCACCCACGGCCCGCGCCCAGCCCCGCACCCACATAGGGCCCGCACCCAGCCCGCACACACACACGGCCCAGGGCCCGCGTCCAGCCCCGGCCCGCACCCAGGCGGGTCCCGCACTCACCCACGGCCCACACCCAGCCCCGCACCCACATAGGGCCCGCACCCAGCCCGCACCCACATAGGGCCCGCACCCAGCCCGCACACACACACACGGCCCGCGCCCAGCCCCGCACCCACATAGGGCCCGCACCCAGACCTGTTCCGCACTCGCGCCTGCGAGGATTCTGGCCCCGGGGTCACCGCCCTCGCCCTCTTACGTCCCGACCCGTCCCCTAGTTCCGCCGGGCGGGGCTGCACGAGGCTTCCACGGGGAAGGGCGGACCCAGCGCCGGCGGGGGATAGGGCGGGGTGGGTCGGGAACCCTGGTCAGGCTCACGCCCTGGAGTGGGGGCTGGGTGTTTGCGGCCTGAACTTTGCAGTCTCCTTGGGCCTCCACCCTGTCCCAGAAAACAGTCCTGGGGGAAAACGAGACGGTAAGCAAGCAGGGCTTTTTAAGAAAACAAGATTCCATTTCCCTAGGACCCAAAAGGACTCGTGGAAAATTTTGCAGCATGCCCCTGCTTTTGAAAGACTGTGTTTGCAGCGTAAGGGCGAACTCCACCTCCATCCTCTAGGGGTCTCGGCTGCGTCCCAGAATTAAATTGACTCAAGATAGATGAATCGGAGGAAAGCATAGTGCGAGTTTCAGGCGGCAGGGGAAACTTCCTTAGCCCTCGTAAAGAAATACAGACCCAAGCAAGCAGCTAGCGTCCACTACTTAATACTGGATTGAACAAAGAAGAATAAACTTTGAAAACGCGACTAAAAAGAGTCACTCTACCGAGGCTTGTGCAATATTCCTGAGGTTGCAGCTTCTAGACCTAAGGATAAGGATGCTGTTTTTCCTTCTCGCATGGGGAGAGTCTTGCACGAGGTCAGAGTGATCTTGCATCTGCTGTTTTCCAAGTGTCTTTCACTTAAATAGGGACCATCCCAGAATGCATATTTTAACCTTTTCAGTAAGGTCCTATATAAAGGTTTCTTTGGGTAGGAATGTATTTGGTGACACCTAATAGAAAACTCAGGGAAGGCAGGAACAGGACGCTGTCCAGGAACTCAGAGTTCCCGGATGTTTTGCTATCCCTGAGTATTTAGTGGAAAGGGGTCGGGAAGGGGTTTTCAGCTAAGCTCCTCCCCCCTTCCCTGTCTATAATCTGTACCTGGCATTGCATGCCCCATAGAGCTTTGTTTTTTCTGGGATCTGATTTGCTTGTAGGTGTGACACCGCCAGGAATGAAAGTGCCCCTAACTTAAAAGTGCAAGGATCCTGGCAGGCCAGAGTGACATGAGGCAGGGTCTGTGCTCTGGGAGCCCTGTTAGAGTGGAGATTGCAGTTACAGTGACTGTGACATCATCCCAGAGAGGCTCAGCTGCACCACGGGCCTAAGGACAAAGCGTTCCTCTTTCCTGGAGTGTGACCCTGGGAAGAATCTTCATCGTGCAAGGATCCTGGCAGGCCAGAGTCACATGAGGCAGGGTCTGTGCTCTGGGAGCCCTGTTAGAGTGGAGATTGCAGTTACAGTGACTGTGACATCATCCCAGAGAGGCTCAGCTGCACCACGGGCCTAAGGACAAAGCGTTCTTCTTTCCTGGAGTGTGACCCTGGGAAGAATCTTCATCATTTAGTAGCTGGGCATGGCAGGAGTCATTTCAGCTGAGACTGGACATTCTCCTAGAATAACTGTGATGCCAAGCCCCTTCTATGGGGCAAGGGCCTAAAAGCCAAGACAGCCCTCCCCCCTCAAGGGAATTGGGTTCCTCTGTCCAGACAGCCTGGCTTGGAACCCTGATATATACACACTGTAGGGGTGGGAAAAGTCTACCTCCATCCTCTTAGGGTCCCGGCTGGGTCCAATAATTTAATCCCCATAAGATAGATTAACAGGAGAAAAACTTAATTCAAGTTTCCCAAAGCACAGGAGCCCTCATAAAGAAATGAAGACCCTACAGAAGTAGCTAAAGTCAGTTACTTATATAGTGGATTGGACAAAGAAGAGTTAGTTGCGAAGAAGCCACCAAATTATATGGAGAGGCTTGAAAGATAAGAGTTATTTTTAACAAGATCTGTATGCCATTCTCCCAGTTTCGACCGTGACTATGAAAATGTTGCATTGTCTAGAGAAGGCATCTTTCACATAGATCTGCTTTGAAGAAACAGCAAGAAGGTCAAAGTGATCTTGCTGCACCTGCTGTTTTCCAAGCGCTGAACTTAGTCAAGATGCCAGAATAGGATATTTTAACCTCTTCAACACCACATCTCCTGAGACAACTTAGCCTGTGAGTATTAGGTTCCTATCTTTAATCATTATACTAGAACCTTCTAGTCTAGCTGGGTGCTTGTCAGAATTAAATGAGAGGGTGCACATGGTTGGTACCTAGAATGGCTATTTCTCTTCCTCCTCTCTCCTCTGTCCCCGGCCAAATTCCAGTGATAGCAGATATGTTTTAAAGGAATGCCACAGATGTTTATCCCAAGGCTTGACAACATTTTTTTGGAACTCTCTGAAGTTGTCATAGGTAGATCTGAGTGTTTACTGGTTTTCCATCCTTCTGTTAAGTGTGTGGCCTGTCTTCGTTCAGCTTCACAGCAGCCATAAAGGTGACACTGTCTTTGTCCCACTTTTGTAATTGAGGAAACTGAGGCCCAGAGAGAGCAAGTAACCTGCCCAAGGGTGGCTGTGACTGAATGGCAATGGCATTCAAACCCAAGTGTGCCTGACTTCATGGCACATGTTCTTACCTAGTACCACAGAAAAAAATATTTCCTTAAAAGAAAAAGAAAAACAATTGTAAAAACCTATAGCAGGTGGTGTTAAGTCCTTAGACTAAAGACTTTTTTAAGTCTTAAAAACAGACCCTAAAGTAGGAGTTCAGGGACAACTGATTTTTCAAGGAAATGCTTTCAGAAAAAGCTAGGAAGGAACGGAGAAAAGGACAACCCAGGGTATGACTGCTGGCTAAATCTCAGCCTCAGTGTGATCCCTATGGTTCTCTAAGTCTGAATGATACCCTGAGTTTGCCGCTGTACTAGAAAGAAGGTCTCGACCGAGTCTTCTAGGTTCTTAGCACACTGGACATAGAACTGAGCAAAATGCACAAACAAAGCAGCAACAAAACGAAGCAACGAAACCACAAATTCATTGAGCAAAAGTACACTCCACAGAGTGGGAGCGGGAG